GGGGCCAGCAGACCCAATGCACGTCTTCCTCTGGGGTCACCATCTGGAGGGGTGGGGGACAGGTGTAGAGACACAGCCTCATGCCTCCATGCACAAAAGTGGGTATGGGGTGCTGGCTAACACACGCTCTCCCTCCATGGACTCAAGAGATGGGATCCCTATAAACAGTGACGGTCAAGAACGCGGGGAACCCTTGGCCCTCCTTGTCACAGAAACCTGAAAGGACAGGGCAGGCAGGTCACAGGATTTGAGCAAGATGTCCAGGATGCACCCTATTGCAGGCTCCTGGAGCCCTTCCACTGCCCACACCAACTCCCCCACATGACTCTGTGCCACAACGGGACCACTGGGCAGGGCCGGGACCACCAACCAGCTCACAGCAAACCAAGTAGGCTGACCTGAAAGCCACGTGCCACGGCAGACACCCTCTACAAGCTCACACCAGAAATCGTATCCTGGAGCCCCAGGGCCACGTGCCTTCTCTGATGGGTCCCCATTCATGCACCACATACCTCCAAACGCAGAGGCGGGCCATGCTCAATCAATCAGGGACACATGATGTCCTTGCCTTTCCTTCGGCTCAAGACCCCGCCACCCTGGAGGTGACCCCATGACTTAGAAGCAGCCTGGGCAGCAAATTGCCGGCACAGGACCCTTGACAGTGTGCTTTCCACCACAGGTTGCCATCCTTCTGGCCACTCCACTTCAACGAGGGGTGACCTATAGCTGGACGCAGGCTGCACCCTTGGCCCAAAGCCCACGATTCCCAGGGCCAGCCTGCAGCACCACCAGGTGAAGGCCAGAGCTCAGTCTTGACCCAAACCCACTGGGGCCACACCGCCCCCACCAGGCTCAAGGAGGCACCACTGGGATGGCCCATTGCTCCACAGGTCAGTCCCATCAGGGCCATGGGTTAGGCTCGATCCTTGAATCTTCACGGACTGACTCCATAAGCCCGATCACCCTGCCCCTTTGCAAGCCTCGGGGACCGAGAGCTCCCACATAACACCTGTTGCCCCCAGTGACCCTGTGGACCCCCTCATGTGGCCTGGAAAGCCCTCCAGGCCTGACTTGTGCACTGAGTCTCAGCTAGAACACGCACTGCGTTGAGTTGAAGGAACCCTCTCCTGTTTGGACCTCCGTCATCTCTGCACGGCTTCAGGGAAGGCATCCTTCTTGGGACCAATATCTAAGGAAGCTGTCCTCCTGGAGAAACCGTCCATCCCCGGTGGGTTTCAGATGGGCTCCCTGAGGAATCCTTCGTGGCCTGAAGGGTGACCCTCAGTGACCCAAAGCGACCTGGCTCATGGTCCATGATCCCAGCAGGATCCACTTACCTATCCCACTTAAGGCCAGGGGTCCCCCTTGGCAGAAGAGCTCACTGAAAGACACAGACACAAGGGAGAACAGGGGCTCAGGAAGGAGGAGCCTCCAGTGTGCCTCAACCCCAGGGAACTAGAGGGCCGACACCAAGGCCGCAGAGGGAGCCTGGGCTGCCTCACGGAGCGCAGAGATAGGGTTGGACACCCCAAGATGAACTTCAGGGACTCCAGGTCTCTAGCCCAAAAATACAGTGGCCCTGCCAGGGACCTTGGCATCTCAGCATCCTCTTCCAAAATTCTCACCTAGGCCGGGCCTCAGCGTAATCCTATTGAGCATGATTTTTAAGTCATCACCTCTCTTCAGACAATATAAGGTTCTCATCATCGACCCAACCCAGGGCACCCCCCTCCCCGCACATGCATCCAGCTGGACCCAGATGTGCTCACCACAGCTCAGGGCAGGAGACCAGGGCAGGAGACCAGGGCACCAGGAAGGGCTTGAGCTTAAGTGCACCAAGGGCTGGACACCTGGCTGATGGACACTGGCCGGCCAGTGGTCCCAAAGCAAGTCTTCCTTTGCAGTCACCATCTGGGGGGACAGGAGGAGGACATGTGTCCAACCAGGGGTTCGGGCCTCCACACGGGGAAGGGGGTGGGGGGTGCTAGCTCACACATGCTCTCTCTCTGTGGACCCATGTGATAGGATCCATGGAAAACACTGATGTGTCACGGATGGGGGGGACCTTTGCCCTCCCAGCCTCCACACAGGGAAGGGGGTGGGGGGTGCTAGCTCACACATGCTCTCTCTCTGTGGACCCATGTGATAGGATCCATGGAAAACACTGATGTGTCATGGATGGGGGGGACCCTTTGCCCTCCCGGCCACTGAACCACGGAAAGACAGGGCAGGTGGGTTCCTGGGTTCAGGCAAGACGCCTGGGCTGTGCCCTACTGCAGGCCCCTCGAGCACCTCCATTGCCCACGCCAGCTCCCCTGTACAACCCCGGGTAGCACCTGGACCCCTGGGCAGGGGCCATGGACACCAACCAGCTCACGGCGAACCAAGGACGCTGGCCCGGACACCACGGGCTGCTGCCTACCTGGCAGTTGCACAGCCTGCCCTGTGCATGGAGGGTACCCACCCTCCTTTCCTCAAGGTCCACTGGAAATTGCAGCCTGGGGCTCCAGGGCCACAAGCTTTCTCTGGTGGGTCCCAATCCACGCCCCACACAATACCTCCCACACACAGAGCGGGGCCACACTCAGCCAACTGGGAGACATATGGTGTCTTCTCCTTTCTTTGGGCCTAAGACCCTGACCTCTGGAGTTGTCCTGATGGCTGAGAAGCAGCCTGGACTGCAAATTTCCAGGAAAGGTCCTTCCGCTGTGGACCTTCCCACCTGAGGAGGCCACCATTACTGCCACTCGCCCACAAGGAAGGGGTGACCCCCAGTGGGATACGGGCTACAGCCTTGGCCCAAAGCCCACGAGTCCCAGAGACAGACTGGACCACCGTCAGGCACTGGCCACAGCTAGTCTTGACCCAACCTCAGAGAAACAGCGCCGCCCCTCACATGGCTCAAAGACATGCCACTGGGAGGGTCCACTGCTTATAGGGTCGGTCCCATTGAGGGTCATGGGTTTGCTGCAGTCCATGAATCTCCATGGCCCGACTCCACGGACTGAATCGCCCACCCCTCTCCAGGGTTGGAGAGTCCCCATGAGATGCCCGTGGTGCCCCAGAGCCCTTGTTGCCCCCCTCATGT